CGCTGGCTACGAGTGCCGGCTACTGCCGATTCCAACTGAGAGTTACGAAGCGTTTCCGCCGACTTTGATTGATGCCATGAATAGGCATGACCGATGGTCTCAGGGAGATATGCAATATGTTTTCCTGCTCAAGGAGCCAGGACTCAGCCTCATCAATCGCTTCCAGGTGTGTCGGATTCTTGCCAAGTGTCTGAGTCCGATGGCTTGGTTTATCATGACTTTAGCTTTCAATATCAGATTGCGAGTAGGAACCCCTGGTGCCTCCGGAGTTGGCGTTACTGTTCTCTCGCAATGGCTCTTTCTCAAACTCTTACCCAACACTGCCGCTCTTTTCACTGTTGTGGCAACACCTTTCGAAATCAAGCGCTATGGTGGCATCTTGCGCTTTGTCACCTCCGTCGTCCTAGAGCATCTCATTACGTCAATCGTCTCAACTGCGGTTACTGTCAGCACGACCTGGTTTCTCTGTGGCTTGCTTCGGGGCATATCCATCAAATGGGACGCCCAAAATCGCGATCGACTTGGCCTCAGCTGGCGTCATACATTTCGAGTCTTCTGGGTGGAAAACCTGATCGGCCTCGGAGTTATCTGGCTAATGATTACCCAAAATACATCACACAGGCTTCTGTCCTTGATCATTAGCCTCCTTTTTCTAGTTCCCGTTACGGTACTTACCGCGTCGCCACGACTCAGTTGTCTTATTACCCGCCTGCGCCTATTCACAACTCCTGATGAGAATCCAGTATCGCCAGTGCTGTCCCGACTAGTAGCGCCGGGAATTACTACTATATACAAGGATAAAGCAAAAACAATGGGAAAAGCTTTATGATAGTTTAATGCTCTAGGCATGTTTTATTATAGACTACATTCCAAGCTAGCCCTACCATACGCATCGTGTGGAAAGCCTAACTGGCTCTATGAATATGCATGTTGGTTCAGCTCATTTCCGAAATACTGGCGAATGTATTCAAGTGAGGGCTGTTTAAGCCCTCTTTTCCGTGGAACATCATTCACTATCCTCTCAACTTAGCTACAAATAATCTTCACTTGCAATGCCTGTCTACGACCCTTGTCACGATGCTATTTGCGACATTTCCCCGAAGACAGAAACCATCCAACCTGAACGGGAAACTGCCTTTAAAATATCTTAATTTAATTAACTTTTAAAAAGGCACTTATATCTCCTTTAGTATAGTTATTACCCCCTTATGCTTCACTGCAATTTACTATCTTTAGACTTCTTTACTACTACTTTAAACTAAATCCACAGGGATATACTTAGTCCAGTCACCCTTAGCTGCAAGGAAGTCAAGCGGCTCCATATGTTCTACTGCACCTCCATAAGGGAGACTGACATAGTATCCCAGAAAGCGCTGAATATCCTTAGGGAGCGTTTCGACAATCTCATATGGTATGGCCAAATATTGATTCTCTTCCTGGCGGCACCATCCTGGCGTGGTGAAAGCGCTGAGCAACAAACTAGCCTCGTTCGTGGTGTTTGGCTTCTGGCCGTAGAAGACAGACCCTAGACTGAAGATTGTGAGAATGAGTCTTGAGAATATCTAAAAGCTATAAATAAACTCACCAAAGAACAGCATCCCCTTTCTTCAACTCGATTTGAGTCTCATCAGCAGGAGTGGGATCTCGAGTGTCCTTCCACATGTTGGAGCCGATAACAGCCCGAATAGCACCGTTATCTTTGGTGATGTCAGTCGCTGCATACGCGATACCAAAATCGGTTTCGCGTTTGGCGGGATGGATGGTATGATGACAATCGTCCTGACGACGAAGCCCCCAGCCAGCAGATCCTGGCTTAGAGAACAAAGCGGATGTAAAAGATACTTGAGGCTCGGCAGTAGAAACGGTTCTTTCTTCGGAATAGTAAATTGTGCATGTATCAGTGAGAAGGCGTTTCGTAAGGTCGATGAAGAGGTCATTCATCAAAAGATCGGTGGCAAAGGTTCGACTCTTGCCGATCAGACCAAAGGTTTGACCATCAGCCAACGGTCCTATCTCTTGGAGAACGGAGTCTAATGTCGCAGCCTTGGCTGCACCTTCAACAACGACAATGCCATCTGCCTTGAGTGTCTGGAGGACATCGTGGGCTTGAGCTGAAGCGGCGAGTCTCTTAACAGAAGACATAGTGGTGGTGGATATGAGCGATAGGCAAAAGAGGAACAAGATGGCTTTGATGTATCAAGTGTTTGGTGGTAATGTCCTTATAGACCTGGGTATTCGGGCTACTTATGCTTCCGTGGTGCTTCAGGTATTTAGATATGAAAGAGATGGTCGTCAACTTGTACATCATATTGGCTATCCTCGGAAATGCTGTGACATTCCCTAAAGGCCGGCCGAAAGCCGCAAGCCCTTGGATAAGATAAGCCCAGGCCCAGCCCCACTGCGATAAGATCTTCAGTGTGGCTTTTACAACTGATAGCATTAGTGTTACCGTTTTGGGAACAATTAACGCTATCAACTCTTTTAGCTCGTTTCGTGTTTTGGTTTCTGATCCATATTCGGTGTGATTAGAATAATATATGCAGTGATGTGCATATATACCAGTTTTATCAACCAAATTATACCATTCATTTAAAGCAACAATTACAGCAACTAGAGTTCCCTTACACCTGCAACTAAGCTTTCTTCCATTGTACTTTGAGCCTTTCGCCAAAATGCCCAACCCTACTCATCAGCGGAACAACCCGGAAATCACGGCGTTGCCAGCCACGGCCCCCATTGAAGAAATTGTCAGCGTAATTCGCAGAGACGGGGGCATCATCATCAAGAATTTCATCAAGCCAGAAGAGGCAGATCGAATCCAGGCAGAGGCCGACCCTCACTATCAGAAGGTTGGCAAGTATGAGGGCACCCTGTTCCCTCCTACTGACCCGCCTCTGAGGTCAGTACTCCACATCTTGTTCAAGTCTTCTTTTCCTTCGGTGAGTGATTAATAAAATTGAGTGTACAGTGGCTTCGCAGGAAAGTCTCCAACATTTGCCCACAAAGCTATCAACCATCCTGTCTATCGAGAGGCATCAAAGCTTTTACTAAAGGAAGAGTCGTAAGAATAGTGTCCCTTTCAAGTTTGAAGCTTTCATCTAATCAACGAGACCCATAGTTACCCTTTCCGTGATGGCAAGCGATACAAGTGTGTGTCTAACCCCGTCTTGGCCGTATCGGAAGCCTTCTCTCGCGGTCGATCCAAGGCTCAGCCCCTCCACCGGGACGACATGGCTCAACACTTTGACCATGTCGAAGGTAGCGGGGAGAGTTCTCTGCTAGGGTTGCTTGTTGCAGGCACTGTACGTATTGGCACTATTTCTTCTTCCGATCAGCGTGCTGACCTAACCGCAGAAATGCACTTTTGAGAATGGAGCTACTCAAATCATTGTCGGCTCCCACTTCTGGCCCGAAGCCTCCATCTCAGGACCTGCCGATAGGTCTATGTGCTCCACGGCCGAGATGGAGAAGGGCGATGCCGTTATGATCATCGGTAGCGTGTGGCATGGTGCTGGAGCTAACATTACCGACGAGCGACGCAACATCTTTTCTTGTCATATGGTGCGTGGCTCATACCGGGCGGACGAGAACCAGTACTTGGCTATTCCTCGTGAGGTCATCAAGGACTACGATCCCGAGGTACAGTCGTTGTTGGGTTACTCGGTTAGTCACCCAAACTGTGGTCATGTGAATATGAGAGATCCGATCGTCACGCTGGGCAGTAATGAAGACCCTTTCGGATACGGGAGCATTGAAGGGCAGGTTGTAGCCTAGACACACAAGACACCTTTATCTTTTATACTAGATCTACCTTAAATTGAAATTGGGTACATTGTTTTTATATATATTGCAATACCAGGATTACGCTCGGGTGACAGAAGGACTTTGCTTTAAATTCCCTCTCTAAGAAGACATCTTCTCCTTTGCTGTCAGACTATTTACCTGCGAGGAGTATTTTATATGAATATTTATCTTCTTGATCTCGTAATATCTCTTTAAGTTATACTAAGCTCGTATAACAAAGGTTCACCTTGTAGGCCGTAGTCAAGCCGTAGTAGACAAAAACAACGATTAACTCATAGTCCAGGCCAGTTATACATAATTAGCTTTAAATGAAGGTATTTTAATTTTTTCACTATATGGTATCGCGACCACATGTAACTCCGTGAGAGTGACAATTCAAGCTTGCCCTTATTGTACCTTCGACCACTTTTGCAACAAGTCCGACGGCATGTATGTAATCGGCTGAGGGCTTTGTGAAGGCTTTGAGATGCAGGTTTGTTCTTACGTGGGTCTCCAGATCTTATACTAGCCATATTTTGTTCAATGCGGTTCCTCGCAATCGCTTGTTTTGTCAAGGTATTGGTTACTCTCACTCTCTGTTAACCATGGCATACAAGCAGTCAACATAATGCTGCAGGAAGTACTACTGAATGCCGATGGGTCTAGCAATGAATGTGGGGCAACATTCTATGCGGGGTTTACTGATAAACCCAGATCTAACTATAATTCACCTAACGTTAGCCTTCGATAACGTAGTTCAAGCTAACAGGCAAGCCTACTTCATGCTTATCTAGAAGGATCTGTCCAATTAAGAGCTATAATGTCTACAAGCGTTATCTCTCCTGGTTCTTATCTCTTTCATATTGAGCTGATATCACCTAGAGGACTTTCATTGATAGCACTATGATGTCCTGTCTTGGATTAGTCCGCTGTCCACAACCGAATTGCTCAACAATCAGTCAACCGAACCGCATTTTGTGCCGCTTTGAATTACGGAATGTACATCCCATAGTGAGTATAGGATACCAGATGACTTTAGCGTATCACAGAGCCTCTTTAGAAAGGTAGAGGATGATAGTGATACTACAACAACCTGCAATGCAGATAAAGCCTCTTTCATGAATTAACAGAACCTGGATAAAGATTAATACTTAAGAGGGTTGCCGCAGCTCCCAAGTATCTCACAGTCATTCCATAACTCATCTCAACCATTCATTATGGCTACTCAGATCAATTCCTCTCAAGGTCAACACCTTCCGCACACCTTTGGCCTGTGGAGCGGCATAAGTATAGGATGGCTTACCATCAATTCCTTCGGTGGAATATCCTTTATCTTGTTCATCAGTCTCTCAGCTGGTGGTCTTCCTACTCTCATCTATGGCTAGTAAGTCTAGAAGCCCTCGCGTACATCACCTTTTATGTCGATGTTGATACAAACCTGTTTTAAAGCACGGCGTCAAGTCTTTGCGTCATGTGTATCATGCTCGTCTTCGCGCAATGTTCTGCAAGGTTCGCTACTGCTGGTATGTCGGCCACCCACAGCTTATCAACCGTACTGACTTTTGCCAGGCGGCGCTTATCACTATGCCGTCTTTCTGACCCCTGAAAAGTACAAGCGACAGGTTGCCTATCCTCTCGGCTGGCTGAACTATGCTGGCTGGGTCCTGACTCACGCGGCCTGCTGTGCTGTTACTGCCACCTTGTTTCTCGGACTGATCAATCTCTGCGACGCGGACTTTGACGTGACTGTTCGATGGCGTCTGTTTGTCGCATACATGATTGTTGCAATGGGCTGTTGGCTCGTTAACCTCTTTGGACTGAGGGGTATTCCCACGCTGGAGAATATTGGCTGTGAGTATAAGCATCGCTGCAAGCCCCCATACATAGATTTGCTGACTTGTATAGGCTGGGCAACCGCGATTGGTTTCGTGGCTTTCTCTGTGCTGCTTCTTGTCAAGGCTCCAAAAGCTTCCGCAAGTTTCGTCTTTGTAGAAACGAGCAACAGAACTGGGTTCGTGTCAGATGACAATGCGTTCGTCATCCAACTCGCTAATCAAGTGGTGACTAGATACTCTTCTACGGGATTCGCTGTCCTACTCGGACTGATGAATAGTTTCTCAACTCTGATGGGTCTCGATGGGCCAGCGCATCTGGCTGAGGAGATTCCACAGCCTAAGCGGTTTCTCCCCCGCATCATGATCATCGTCATCCTCAGTCAATTTGCAATTGGTCTTGTTTGGATTCTTGTCCTTGGCTTTTCTGTCAAAGACTTGGATGCTATTGTTGCAACATCTACTGGGTGAGAGTAATACCTTGTTCCTGCTGGATACTGCTAACACGCTGCAGAGTCCCCGTGCTCGAAATCATTCGACTCGCCACTGGCAGCCGGGCAGCAGCAATAGTGTTTTGTTGCATTCTACTCGTGAACATGGTCGCATCATCTCTCGGTTCGGCCATTACGATGAGTCGTCAAGGTTATGCATTCGCCCGAGATAATGGTCTCTTCTGGAATGACAAGTATGGATTGAACGAGTTCCATCCTCACAGAATATCCACAGCTGACATTTCACAAGGCTGGTGCACTTATCTCCCCACACAAACCTTCCTGTGTGGTCGATCAACCTCTCATGTGTGATCGTGTTTGCTATTGGTCTAATGTGAGATAGAAGGCGTTCAACGTTAAAGCCTCCCTAACGCATCCTAGTTATCTTTTCTCGCTCACCGCATTCAACGCAATAATCGGTGCACAAGCTGTTTGCCAGATCATTAGCTTCGGTATGAGTCCCTGTTTCGTTCTTGGTTCTTTTGTTGATATAATAAAGGGTTTCCCGCACTTATCCTTCTGTTAACCAAAAGATCAATGCTCCTTCCAAGTCCCCGCTGGGATTTTGGAGGTTGGTCAAATCCGGTATACATTGTTGCTATTCTATACTCTGTCCTTGTTATCATCGTGGCATTCGTGGGTCCCTGTCCTATTCCTGATGCTCATTCTGGAGGCTAACAGCGCGCTAGATCCCGCAAACCCATCCTGTGACTGCCGATACTATGAACTATACCGTCTTGATCATGACATGTTTGGCTGTTGCAATGATTGCTGGGTGGCTGCTCGAGGGCCGCGGCAAGTTCTCCCCTCTCAACAACGTTGATATAGATTCAGATATCCAGGTCATTGAGGGCTTGGAAGAAGATGTCGAGCAATGCGTCCAGGACAAGCGACAAAAGGCTCACGTCAAAGCCCACGACCAGGCTGCATAGTTCTGATGGAGTAACTTATACTTTAGACTGAAGTTTGGAGTAATATGTACTTAAATATGGTATATCGGCCGGATCGGTAATAGGCCGGCCCTTTCTAGCCTCTATAATACACTTTTCAATGTAGTTCTGAAACAGTGCTCTCCCACGTATATAAAACCATTTTGCGCCTGTATTCACAGAATGAAAGTTACCCTAGTAAATAACTAAAGATTTAATATCTGATTTTTCTAATAAGTCAAGTTGTCAGTCTCTGAAAAGTTTTCTGAAGAATAGAAAGATAATCAACAACCACTTGCCAAAATATCCTGTTTAGTCGTCTTAGTATTAGTACCTTCTATCCGTTATGTTAAGTTTAATAGCCACTTTTTTAGATATATAATCTCCGCCTACTCGTAAATATCTATTCCTTCAGTTTAACCACAATTACATCTTCATCCATAGCTATAGGTCCCCTCAATTATGGATGAAATTCTTCGATGCTCCCCTTTCCTCTTATTCCTTCAGTCACTAACCAACGATCTCCAACGGCGACGCATATCATATATTGTTATCTGCTACACATTGTAGCACTCCTGGCCAGGCCTCAGTGGCAAGAATAGTTGCCAAGCAATGGCCAGCCTGATGCCAGTGACTGCAAGGTAGAACAGTATACAAACTTATAATCTGCATGGCAAGTGGTTCAATTAATTTTCAATGTACAGAATTTATTTCGGCGCGCCAAGTCTACTTCTAGAGCGAACTCACATTTTGGCATTGTAATCTTTCGTCATCCGTTTTCCTATAAGGTCCCTATCTGATAAGTAGACGGGCCTGGTAGGGTTGTAATGCAGGTTGTCTATTTTGTGGGGAAGTGTTACCTACTGTACAGCATGCCTGAATTATCAGCTAAACCTAAATCGGCAATCCTAAGCTCGGCTACTGTGAGCAAGATAGGAGAATGGATCCTCGGGCTTGCCTAGCTCTATCTTACAGACCCGATCTTGCCTTCGTCGCTAGATATTTAATATGTGGCATAACTCTGGCTATTGATGAGAGGCCCTGAATAACTAGACTATTTTGTTGCAATAAACTAGCACTTATTATTGTCCGCCCCCAGACAACCTTTGGCGTATCGTTTCCATACAAACAATCCCCGAACTTAAGCTACTGCTCAATTATGGCTGCTACCTACACTTTATCTGCACATCTCGCGAGGATTATCACTGCATCATGGAGCGAAAAATGCTCGCAAGTCAAGGCCCCGCCTCCGAACGCGGTTTCGCCAGTTAACCTAATGTCATTTCATCCATTGAATTCACCAAATGGCAAATACAATGTCAATGACAGCCTGAATAAAAAACTGAAAACCGCTTAAGTACATGTGGCGTTGGTTGAATACAAGGTCTTTCCTCTAAGGATTAAGAAAGGTCGCCCATATGGTATTATTCCTGTCTCTGGGATGGTTGATGAAAATGGAAAAGCATTGTAATTACAAGGAGTTCAAATTTTCCAGACAATTGACTTTATGAATTTATCTTTAATCTTGGCCCTCGCTTTGGATTTATTCTTAGCTCTCTTTAGTCATTCCTATCTATGTTTGTGTTACATATAATCGATAATGATTGCTAAAGATTCCTCTTTCATATACTACTAATTTCTAATCTTATGCTCGTCCATCAGATCATTCAAGTTCGGTCTCATTCGATTCCCAGCCTTCCTTGTCCTCTTTGTTTATTCTCACCATTGTTAAGTCCATCAGTAGCGCAATGACAGACAAACCAGCTCCGAACCATAATGCGGACCGAAACCCCAGCACTTCGCCAGCATGACTCTTCGCTATGTTTGTCTCGATCGTGCCGGCAAAACCAAGACCTAAGCTGTTGCCGTAGAGGTTAAGCGTCCCGATCAAACTAGCAGCTGGCCCCTGCTCCTTCTTACCCACACTGCTGCTGGCAATAACCTGTGCAGCAACATATACAAAATCAGGGCAGAAGCTACCGAATACAGTTGACGGGAAAACCTGTGCCCAGTAACTCTGTTGTTCTGGCATTGTAGCCAACAAAATAGTGGCTGTCAGCGAGGTGACACATCCGATGGCAAGGATCCATTGTGCCTCGAGCCGGGGGATCAACCACGCGGCCAAAATGACGGCACAGGATGCCCCTAGTCCATAAGGGATCCAGCCGACAGCGACGTTGAGGACGGACCATCCTCGTATCAATTGCTGCCATGCTACCATGTACCAAAGTGTGATACCAACGGCCATGTAAATGAATAAGACAACGACCGTGAGGGCCTTGAAGCTTCTGCCGCGAAAGATGGAAGGGGGCATGATAGGTTCATCGGCCCATTTACCCTCCCAAAAGAAGAAAATCACCATCAGCACAACCGAGGCGATCAGCATCGCAATAACATATGGAGTCTCCCATCCATCAGCTGGTGCTTGACTTTAAAGTCAGTTAGCAAAGTGCCATGCTGCTTGGGGGAGAGAGGAAGGGGAAACGCACTTCCAGGCCAAAGAGAATAATAGAAGAGCTCCCAAGCCGGTAATGATGCCAATGCAATCAATGTTACCGCCTTTGTCAGCGGGCTCCTCAGGAGGTAGAACAAAGAAAAGCCCAGAGAAACAAATAGCCCCAAGAGATGCCCTAGGATCCAGTCAGCGGTGTCCAAGGTGCTAAAAGTGAGAGTACGACAAACATACACAGAGATAAAATGCCACTTCCATTCTGAATACTCGAGAAAGGCTCCAATCATCAGCGCTCCGATGCCAGCTCCAACTGGAGGCGATGCCGCAAATATGGCCAGCGTGAAGTTGCGCACTTTGCCAGGAGGAACCATAATAGTAAGGGTAGCAACTGCATTGGGCATCAAGATACCGCCACCAACACCAGTAAGAGCGCGGATTGCAATAAACGAGTTATAAGTGTTACAAAAGGCGTTGGCAATGGAGAAAGTGACAATAATAATGCCCCCAAGAAGAAGCAGCTTCTGGTGACCGTAAACGGCGCCGAGACGACCACTGATGAGGACGAAAGCGCTCTGCGTAAGGCTGGAGTAGATAAGTCAGTCTCTTTGTCGAGTAGATTCCGTGGCGAAGTATGACGGATCAACGTACGAATAAGCTGCAGCCATCCAGTTGGCCTGCCCTGGACCTACGGGCTTCCCCAGAATCTTGCTAAGCTCGTAACCCCCAGCTACGGTCGAGAACATGGAGATAAACTTGGGACAGTAATGTTAGCAATACTCCGCCACGAAACATGAGTACAGGCTATCTGGAGGCTCTTACCTGCGTCAAATTACATATCAGTATCAGGAATGTGATCAGATATTGTTTGGTCTTGCTGGTCTTGATCGTCGATGCCACGCGTGAGAGCTCTGGTAATTGCTGAGAGTCCCCAGCAGCTTCAATCTGGCTGATGACAGATGAGATGCCTCCGGGCTGATTCATTGATTTCATTGTGACGAGCAATCGTTGGAAAGCAAACCCAGGCAAATTCTCTTCGTTTAATCTTTTTGAATGAGGTTTAAAATCTGCTCTTACCCATCTCTCATGCTCCTAGAAGAGTACGCATCTCGGAATCTGGCTTAGTAGTTCCGTGAATCTATTCCCAAAAGGGCTTAATCAAGCGAGCCTAAGTTTGCCTATTATGGAAGCGGGCGGATACCTGATAAGCAGCATACGTACATTTATCTCTCCCCTCTCCTGATAAGCCTTCATCACCTATCAACTCTCCTTTGCGTTGCAAAGAACATCGCTGCAAATAGCCTCGGGATCATGGGCCAAAAACGGTCGAGAAATGGTGTGTAATTTTCATCTGGTCTTGTCAATGCTTTGGTTCTACTAGCTAATACGGGACCTTTCTTCTACAAGGGTGTTGGACATGCCGCCGGCGTCACCAAAAATGCGACGAAACGAGGCCGGAGTGCTTAAACTGTCGTATACGAGGAGCTACCTGCGGTGGCTATGATATCCAGCTGGATGACTTTTCTATACATCGCAATGGCCAGATGGTATCAAAAGTCATGAGAACTGGCCCTCGTCGGCAAAACAAAGCTGCTAAACCGCAAGGACCACGGTCAGAGGTCGGCCGACATGAAAGAGATAGGACAGCAGACTTGGATACTGCCGCAATGTCGATTGATGACAATTTGATATCGTCTAGTGAATCTCAGCTCCATACTGACGACAGTTTCGCGGGCATAAAGGACTCGGTAAAAATCTCCCAATTGACCATGAATCAAAATATCATCTCGCTCACAAACAAGGCTGCGGTTGTCATGCAGCATCCCACTACAAGCCTATCTCCAAGCTCTGCCGATCAGAACTTTGATGATTGTCATACACCAGAATCAGCATCGCCCGCGGCTCATGAGATGAGCCATGACACGGAGATATCGGACCAGAATAACAAAGGCTTAGCGGCATGCAGCGCCGAGGTTTTGGATCTACAGAACCACGTCACTCTAGCCTCCGCCTCATCGGGTGCAGAGGCAGAAGTCACTGTGTTGCCTGCCGATTGCGGACCTGAAGATTTCTTCATCGATGATGCCATATCAGACTCCTGGCTGCATCTTGAGGACAGCAACGACGAGGAATCCTCAGAGGCTAGAATCACCGTGGAATCGGAGACCGTCAATCGTATCTTGTCACGGATAACCGATATTTCGACTCTGCCGTCCTCAATCCCTGATCCTTTCGACGACTATCTGTTCTGTCACTGTAATACTGATTCTGTCTAGATTCTCAATAAGCTCAGCTGACAGTTGGATGACAGACATTCAGAACCTTTCTCTCTGCCTTTACCCCATGAGGCCAGATTGCAACCCGTACCGTGAAATTTATGGCGACCTTGCAGTCAGTTCTCGACCGCTACGAAGCACAATACTATTTGCCTCCGCATCACACCTAGCAAACCTGGGGAGATTGCCCAAATTCGCCGTTCAGCCATACCGCAAGGCCATGAGAGTGGCGTTCCGAGAGGGTATAGCCACAGACACCGACCTCGAAGGACTCGCCGCTACAGCCCTACTGTCGGTAATATTTGATGTACAAAAGCAACACACCAAGCCCCTGGCATATATGCTTGATGGCTAATGGAAACAGGTCATTGATACTGGCTTGGACACTTGGAGTACGAGACTTCTTGGGTGCCGCCGTCTACTTAAAAACGCCACGGACAAATTGAATGGAACCAATGGACGGTTCCTGCAGTGCATGATCGTTCAATACAATTGGGCTGCTACTATGAGTCGCACACTTCTGAGGGATGTTGTATCTCCGGAGGTGCTTGACGAAATTGGGACCGTCATCCATGGTTAGTAACTTTCGCTGCTTTGACTGTATCCCCCGCTGACAGTACATCTCTTCATAGTCCCTGGCCCAGATCCGAAGGCTGAAAGCACGCAAGGGGCCAGAATACAGTCCCTCTGGTGGCATAATCTCCCTGATCATGCTATGCACCTCATGTTCCGTGAGGTGACGGATCTCGCTGCCCAAGTGCATCAGATGAAAGCATCTCGCAACTCAGTCGACGACACTCTCAAACTTATGGCTCGAGCCGGCGAGCTCGTTCGGAGCCTGGAAAACTGGACCCCGGACGTGTCGATCGTTGATCAAGAGCACATGGATTCCGTCGAGCATTTTAACACCATATGGCAGCTTGGATTACTTTGCTTCATCCACCACGAAATTTACACCCTCGATTCCAGCGACCCTCGCATCCAGAACTACGTAGCCATGGCTAGCGAACCTCTCCGGAAACTCTCATGGCTACAGGCCTGTCTCTTCCCTCTTTTCATGCTCGCGATACATGCTCAAACATCTGAGTCACGGTCCACGATCGAAGAGTCCCTCAGCATGATGCATACTTCCCTAGCTTTTCAGACTCCGCTTACCTTACTTCTCTCTCTAAAGAAGTTTTGGAGCCATTTGGATACATATGGAACTGCTACCTCTAGATGGCGAGATCTATTCAGGAACACAACTCGGGAGTTTAATATCTTATTATAAAATTATAAAATATATAATTAAAAATATACTACAGTTAACTTTTATAATTAAATAGACTTGAATTATTAAAATATTGCCTATCTTATCATCCGCATTGTAGAGGCTGTACTGGTCTCCCAGCCTAATCCGTTCCTGTGTAACTTGGTAAGACAAGGCTAGGCACTACAATCTCAGTTCTTAAGCAGCCCCTTCATGATATCCCGATATAGTTCAGCTGGCTTCTGGAAAGGCGCCCACGTTTCCTCCAGTATGATAATCTTGCCCTCATGCTCAACGGTAGTCTTGAAACTCATAGCACGCCCCTGGGCTATCTCCTTACCGTCTGCCGTAATCGTCACTCCTTTGATCTTGAAATTGACCGGCTTGACGCTTTGCACCAGTTGTCGTACCGACTCAGAACCCCTATCGATCTCGTTTTGAATCATGCGCAAACCCGTACTGATGGCTTCATGTTGCTCTCGCTTACGCCTCTCTTCATCCTCGGCTGATTGTAGCTCTTGCTGTAGCTGGCGGAGCTGCATGCTGTCTCTAGCTTGGTTGATCTTCTCTTGCTCCTCGTCGATGACGCGATCCAGATCAGGTCGCCCAGCATCAAGTTTGGCCTGTGCCTCACGAATGGCCTGCATCCATCGCGAGTTTCCATCTTGCATGGCATCGAGCTCAGCTTTCCTGGCTTTCAAAAACTTGTCTTTATCCTCCAGTGCTGCCTCGATGAAACCTTCAAGGCCCTGCTTAGCAAGCCTGTCCACCATTTCGGTTGCTTTCTGGAGCGCTGCGTCTTTTTCCTGGATCTGAATTTCTATGTCGCGAAATTCCGGCCGATTGAGGGTGTCTCTGTAGTCCTGGAGAACACCCGCGCCCTCTTCAAGTCTGTTAGTGAGAAAGGTGGCTGCTGCGTCGATCGTATTGATATAGATGAGCTACAGACAAATTAGCATCAATCTCATTATTCCATAATTGAGGGTCAGTACTTCTTTAACTCTTGCAAGTATTCCCAGATTTGGCAAGTTCTTCTTCCTATCGTTCGAGTCCGCTAGAAGTCCTGCCAATTTCGCTTTCGCTATATTGAACCATTCGTTATACTTCTCCAGCTCAAGAGCAACATTCCCGAATGTTGACTTCTTCTTGCCTTGCAGCTCGGCTCTCTCTTTTGACAGCCTTTCTTGTTCTTTCTCTGCACTTTCAAGGAGAGAAGCCCACTCGAGACGCTTTTCCGCCTTTATCGCCTCTCGCTCAAGGTCGATCTGCTTCAAGAGGTCTTTGAGCTCATCCTCGGCTTCTTTTTTGGCCTGCTTAGTAGTATCTGCTGCCCTCTGCAGCTTTTCTAGTTCAGCCTCCGCCTCCAGCTTCTTTAGCTCCGCTTTGGCTCTCTCCTTATCCCGTATTTCCTTCTCTTCCACGATTCTGGTCTTCAGAGCACTAATTTGCTTCTTCTTAATCTTGACCTCGTCAGAAATCTCGTTCCTCCTCTTCTGAAGCACAAACTCGAGCGCCTCTGTTGATGCTGTGGCTATATTTTGCAGCTCTGCTAAGAAGTCGAGGATACCGTTGTAGAAAAGCTCCAAGATTTCAGTGTTGAGAGTGAGAGTGAAGTTCACATTTGCTTGTGAGAGGTCCTTGAGGTTCGCCACGTTTGTGGCCACGGCTCTTAGATCAAACTTGATCTGGTCTGTAAAGCTCACAAAGACCCAGACGTCCAAGACTACTGGATTTAAGGAAGCTCGTATCAGGGCCCCAATCTGCAGACCTTCGTCTCCTCCGATGATTACCAAGCCGTCAATCTCCAACAGTTGCTTTTCGGAAGTCGTGGCAATTTGAAGCTTCGCTCGTGGGTTTCCGCTGGCAGAGCGCACCTCAAGGGGGCCAATCTTGAAGGCATCCACTTCGCCCCTCAGCTCGAAGCCCCCTGAGCCCAGTGATGCCTCGAAGTTGGCCCTCTTCCCGAACACCGTGACATCTCCCTTGGCTGAGATTCCCGCAGGGAATTCCTCTCCCAGGGCTTCTTCAATACCAGTAGAGAAGTACATTTCAGCTTTATTGAAGACAAGAAAGTCGCCGGCGCTGATATTTCGCAGTGCGTCCAAGTCTCCAATTTCCCCAGCCATTCTAATTAGCTCACTCACGTTGACGTTTGATATATTGACCTTGAGAACTTGACGAGTAGGCAATTTAGTCACGACAATAAAAGCTTCTCCCGTGAAATTACCGCACTTTACCATGCCTCCAAAGGCAAGCTCACTATTCATGATTCCATTATCAGCAGACGGAGGTCTCCGTGAAGATAGCCAATGTATATCTTACCTTGGGCCTTCCACCAGAACGCTTGCATATCTGAACGCAACACTGCCGCCCAGCTTCTGCACGATAATCTTATCGCTAACGCCAAAAGGGTTCCTCCATGGGACCTCGGGGTCAAGGTAACTAAAGTCATAAATATTAGTCCCCAACTGAAGATGTTGACTCAACTGATGCTTACATTTCACCGTTTGCTTCATGTAGTAGTGCCTTAAGATTGGAATGGAATGTCAGCGGTGGTTGTTGAGCTATGTTGATTCGTAAGTCACAGCTGAGCGTCAAATTGGGCTTGCTTGAGATGTCCAGCCCAACAGAGAACCGGTCGACCTTTGCAATATCGCCCATATCTATCTATTGCAGATCAGTTGTGGCTTCCTGACAGTTTGTAAAAGTTCGTTCACTTACACCGATACTGTCTGGAAGCTCAATTTCCACCGAGAGCCTCTGAGCACTAATGGAAGCGATGAGAGTCAATCCACCGACTGTCTTGTTCCTTGCGAGGTTGTTGATTGCTGGTAGTGGATCGATGAGTGCAAAGAGCGAGAGCCCATCAGAAAGAGAGTATTTTCTCTTACTCAAAGGATCTGTCCAGATACCCTTTTTGTTGGATGCTATGATAGTCACGTACTTTAGTTCAATATCCAGATCTGGATGCTCTTTGAGAGTCTTGGCTGCCTCCAACGCGGACAGTCGAAGGTTACCTTCATAGGCACCATAGACAATCCATCTCCGTGAGTTCGGCGACCCATCAGTGCTGGTTTCAAGTCCCACAGCCACTCTGATGCCTTGAAAATGGACGAGACCTTTGAGTGCTAGCCTACTAGCTCGACCGCTTTTCTTGTCACTTCCCCTAGAGCCAATGAATATGTCAAGGCCAGCTTCTTCAATCACTATGTTCGTGTCGGGAACCTGAAAGCTTCCAATGGCACCGCCTATAGATAGGCCCTCATTGTCAAACGTGATGTATCCTGCGGCACTGGTTGCGCCGTTGAAGCAGATCTTGCCCCTGATCTCGATCCCGGCAGTAGAAATCATGATGTGCATATTCTCGAACTCCAGCTCATCGACATTTGTTGCAGCGTCAACAGACTTGCCTGTGATTTGGGTGTAGGCCTTCACGATTTCATCCCATGTCATGTTTCCGACTTCAGCTTCTAGGTAGGTTTCCGCTATCCCATAGTCAGTATATGGTATGGGGTCAAAGTTGGGAGGGATCCTTCTTACATTTTGAATACTGCCCTGCCAGGAAGATATCCCCATCGCCAAGCTTCATCATTGCACTGAAACCTAGTACAAGAGACTCTTCCAAGTTGTTAATGTCTATCGAAGCTTGAAACTCGACTCCTGTGACCTTTACGATCGTTAGTTCCATGACGGTATTGCACTCCATGTGAGTGACCTACATCAAGATTCTCAATACCAAAGACGGAAGTCCATTCGTGCGATGAAAGGGCCATGCTAAGACTGTAGGTATCGCCAATCTTTCTCATCCAGTATTTGACGGTCAGTGGCAAACCGGTTTTTTGAATCTTGCTGATCTCCAGCTCTCCACACAATCCATATCCAAGCTTCCAGGTCGTCTTGTTCTTGTCATTGTCAAACGATGAAATGCTGATTACAGACACTTCTACGCCGACCTTCCGGAACCTTATAATATCTCCAAGCCGAAGCGATTGATCGACGGAGCCTCGCAAGGCAAAGTTGTTCAACTCTAGCGGCTCACGCCAATTTCTTTCTGGGCTCAGTCGCGCCTGGACACGAAGTTTGGTGGGTGGCGTGTTGTCTTCGTTTCCACTGTAGATGAACTGCAGTAGCTCTTTTACAGGACTTAGCGGCCCCGTAAAGGTAATGTCAGCGTTCAGTGATAGTCCCTCCGGGTTATGAAAGTCGTCGAGCTTGTTCGAGTACGTAAACTCAACGTTATCTATCGGTAACTTCTGGATTATATCGTTGTTGAGCGAGGGAAACAGGGTCGCAATGTAACCATCAGCAGAGCTGCTGAGGTAGGGTTTGACCTTCTCCTGTATTGGGTCCTGAGGACCTGAGCCCTGAATACTCAACAGCTCACCGCTAAGACCAGGAATGCCAAACAGCCCTTGAACGTCGCCTTGGAGGACATAATCTGCAGCAGGCAACGCGCCGGCCTCTCTAAAGGTTTTAGTGGCTAGCTCAGCCACCTGAGAGACTGTAGCGATTGAAGGCGCAATAACCTCCATGCCGAGGCGTGGAGACGAGGATAATATGAGGATAGGCTTCGTCTTTGATGCTTGGGCGACGGTGATTTGGCCTTCTCGAGCGGCTGGTACCAACAGTAGTCCAGCCTCGTTGGCAAAGCTATCAATACCCCGAACAGTGACTGGGAGGTTTGCGTACTTGCCCTGGTGATCCAGGACAATCAGTCTGGTATTGGTCAAGGGGATACCTCCAACAACAATCATGTCCCCTTTTCCGGGTGCCTCCAGGGTCTTCATCTCAACAGCTTCATTGTTAACAGCCGTAAAGAGAGAGTCTCTAGGCTGAGTAAATTGAGATTGAAGGTCGTCAGGGGAGTCTAATCGGTTGATGTTGCCTGACAAAACAAGTTGGGTTTCAAGATCTGCTAGAAGCACCTCAAAGGCCCTCCCATCATCTTGCTTTCCCATACTAATGGTCAACACGGACTCTGCTCCAAGCCTTTCATTCTTCATCGCGCTAAGTACGCCCTCTGCCTTGCGATTGAAAATCGTTTTGAGCAAGGCGATGTCGACCATGGCTTCACCCTTGGTGAAGCAGGATCTATTAAAAGGGTTGATCCTCAAGCCCATAGCTAGCAAGTCTTTATCAAGGAGATGTGACTTTTCCTTCATCTCTAGATTCCATTGTATTTCGAAATGGATCCAGTCACAGTTGTCGAACCAAGACTTTTCATTTTGCTCAGGAGGTTCGAAGGATTTGAAGCGTAACTGGCCGACCACCTCGGCTTGTTTTCTGAAGTCGCGCTCGAGCTTGAACAGCCTTTGAAAGGCAGCTTCGTATCTGAGCATCCACGAGTTCATTTCCCACGTGCCAAACATCATGTTGGGTTGGATTTGGCTCGTTTCCCACGCCTTGGACCCGTCGGTCAGTCCGCCAAAGGAAAAGGCACTAATATGAAGCCACTGCCAGCCATGATTTGATCAGCATCGTGTGGTAGCCCTAGCGTTTCTAAAACACTATGGCCTATCTCGTAATTTTACCTGGCTCACGGGTTATAGGTTACTCACCTCTGCTGTATGCTTATCTTGGCCGCTCTTAGATGTGTCTTTGTTTTGACTCCCCCAACCCAGGTAGTCCCTCGCAAGCTGCCATATTCTGTCAGCCGAGCCACGACAAAGATCGAAGGTAGAGGGAGGGAAGAAAAAATGTACCTCCGGTGCCGAAATGCCCATCACAGTCTTTTGTGAGCTCGTCTCGCTTCGCTTGGAAGTAGCCTTCAGCATACGGGAAGCCGAAAGGCTAATAGATCCATTAGTTCTCTCCATCACGATTCCATCTCTGGCAAGTCTCTTCTGGATCTTAACATCTGATTGGCGAGGCTCCATCTTCTCTGCTAGCTTGTCACCTGCCTCGTCGGTATAGAGCTTCAGAGGCCGAGAAGAGTATAATCCAAATGCCTCTGCGGTATCCTTGGAAACGTATGAGCTGTAGTAGAAAAAGGGATTGTTGGAATACTATCGAGGTTCAGATGATTAGCAAGAATCAAGTTTGGAATACCAAAAGCAAATGGGGAACCGACCAACACCAACCCCTTGTCTTCAATAGCCTGACTATTTTCCAAAACAGTGTACTTGGTGCTCAGACGGCTGGGCAATTCCTCGAATCCATCTTTCACATCGGTCCAAGTGATATTAGCTCCTTCACCGATTCCCCTGACTCTTGAACTTGGCAGGATGTAGACCGTGATCCCCTTAGGGTCAATACCACGGAACGCAGCTCCTGCATTGCTGATGCTCCATAGTGATGTTGCACTCCGAAATATACTCGCCCATAACTCAGCATCTGCCATGCTCGTGAACCTTTTGTGCAGCCCGACCATCTCCGCCCTGCCATTTCGTCTGCGAGCAGGAACTTGATACCCGCCTCTGAACGTGTCCTTACCAGTGCCCACGGGGGGGCTTTCTATCATACTCTTCCACTTCCGATACTCCAGCTCTTTGACCGGTCGATAATAGCCTGTGCGATTGCCGTCTATTCCTTTTATGGGCTGGAAAACCATGTCGTCATCGTGTTGAGGTGTTCGGTAAGCCTGCCATTGGTAGTGGGTTTTGCTGTCACCAGTCATACAGATGTTGAGAAAATGGACAGATAAATATAGTTCCGGCTCCTTTTCCAACACGCTAAGTCTTTCGCACTGACGCCTTACAAGTCTGACATAGAATTCCCCCTCTGGACAGTATGTGCCTAATGGCTCTGGGTCCCTATCCGTAGGGTCAAGTTTGAGGTTTGGCACATGGCGGTACACAGTGCCTTCTTGCTTGAGAGAATCAATGAAGATCACCTCTGATTCCCATACTTTATCTTCAATCTCTAGGTCTGCCATTGTTCTTTCTGTTTAGGGGTTCCAAGAAAGAGAGAGTAAGGCTGCGATATAACAGTGGTGTCTGAAAATATAGTAGACCGATTATTGATAGCCTGGAGTTTTTGAAGAAGAAATAGATGGGAATTCTATCATTGCTGCTAGCCAGCTTTAACCATCTGGCCATTCTTCCTCAGCCAGCCTAAATTGATGAATCTAGACTGTCTTTGTGTAATATTCAATAAATCTGCAAGCCACCCTACTAGTTCTGTTTCCTAGGCCAAATACGACATCCTGATATGCAACAATCGTAAGATATTGAACAGCTGACAGGAGCTAGACATCTTGGCATTTATTTATTGAGTATATAATTATGTAGGCATGTATACCCTTAAAATGAAGTTGTAAGATAAATATCTAATACCTCTCTAAAGGTATTATTTAAAAAAAGGCTTGAATAAAGCGGATCATAGATAATGTAAAGTGAATGGATTTTGTAGCGTGATGCTTGAGATGCAAGACACGCAAGGAATGGCGCTTTGTCGGTGCGCAAGGACGGCGCAAGTTTATCCGTTGCATGCCAGGGATGCCATTAATTAGTTCTGGCTTAGCTTGGCCGGTGGAAAAAAGTGGGTGACGTCAAGATGGCTGCTTTAGGTATCCCGTGCGTAATTTTATTTTGTGCTGCCTCAGGCCGCAAATTTGAACGTATTGTTATAGGGTATTTTTGCAACCAACTTCAGATAAGCATTTGACATGTCTTTAATCCACGGAGTGGCAGATTTAAGTCTTACAGACCTTCAATCACTAACTTATAATAATTTCAATGCCATCAGGATTACATTTTTCTCACTTTGTAGATGAGTTTTAGTCATTGTTGTGATTAAGACATAAAATATCTAGGTTTGCGTCTTCACTTTTGGTTTTGCTTTTAGTAAGCCCCTCATCCTATTGTTCTGAAGCCTGTTAGCTCGACATCTTAGCCAGGAACTTCTGAGGAGAAGGGTCTTAAAGTTGCATGATTCTCTAAGTCTGGTAATATAAAGCGCAGATCAGGGTATAGGACCGAATACCTAAGGACATTGCATGTCGTTGCCCCGGATTTGCAGGATCAAACCAAGGCACGCGAGACCACCAGAATTTTCCCACGGGGCCCCGACACTTTACCCAAACGAGTTCCAATGGAGCGCTTTGCTCCGCTGGACATCTTGGCTACTAAGCTTCTTCTTACCTCCCGTCTTACCAGCGCATTTCTGTAATCTCACGTGTTAATCCTGCTTATTGGGTCCAGCGTATGAGGGAATAAGACTGGGATGGCCAGACATACCGACAGACACGGTCATGTTTCAGAGATTTTGAGGCCATTTCCGGTATTCCCGATACAACCTGATGCATGTTGGACAGAAAACGCTAAGAGTGGAGACGCGTTGGTCGCTACGCGACGGGATTTGATCACGAAATTGAGTTGAGCGAAACATGGAAAGATCCTGGCCATTTTGGTAGATGTTGGTAGGTACTCCGTATTTGTTACATAAATTATTTACTATGGCATGATTCTGAATACAGAGGAACACCTGGGAATGATAATAACCAGACCGCTCTCTCGAGGCTGGTGTTGATACCTTGGGATTGAGCCGCAATTTGGCTAGTGTTGTTTGGGTTAGCGAACATGGCTGGAAGCATCTCGACTATCGTGAAATGCTCCGATGAGCCAGGGTAGAGAATCATCGTTATATTGAACGTTGAAACCGTTTGTTGACTTTTTGTTCCGCCGACGATCGATCGCAGTTAAACTCTGATCAACACAAACAGCGACGATCGTATTTTAACTTTATATATAACGTTAACGGCTTATCTCAACTCAATTTCACTGCTGACAGGAATGGGCCGGAAGATTTCAATAGCGACAGGTTCGCCAGTCAATTGACTCGAGTCTCAAGCCACGGAGTAGCATTGACCATTCAAGCCATAAACGATCAATCCTCAACAACATTGCCCGAGATACCCGAGCCTCATCTTCTCCGACAAAATTTTCACAAACTAATCAACACTCAATAACCTCAATTAGGCACCCGTATTCTTGCACTCCGTCCCACTTAGCACCAACTCCTTTAGTCCTCCTCTTTCACATGGTTCGCCAACGCCCGTTTTCCCCAAAAAGCTCAGACCAAATTCCTGATCTAAAAAACAGGCAGTGAAATAAACATACCGATGATTGGATGAAGCGCTCAAGTGGAGAAATTCAAAGGATGGGCCAAGACTTTGCGTTTGAATCCCCCCATGGCACAACGTGTGGGGTAAGCGGGGAGGACAGAGGAAAAGCTTGGTTTTTAGGGAGAGAAGGGGGAAGAATTTCGGTGCCTAAAGCCACTTTTGTTAGTCTTCTCCGCATGAGATGAAAGCCGGGGATATCTCAGTAATCTCAATCCTTCGTATCTGAGGTCGATATGCCTCATAACAACAGGGCAATCTGACAGGAGTTGCAAATCAGTAGCGATTGATGACTCTGTAGACAAGGCAATGATCTTCAATTGCAGAGAGTAGACCAGCATAAGCAAGCAAAAAGTCCTGCACTGGTCCCACTCTAGTGATGTTGTCCAATAAAACCACCTTCTCCGCGTTGATCCCACGGGGTAGCACACCTCCAACACGCTCTTGGCGCGAGGTGATATCATGCCGGCCAAGACTGTTAACCTGCTGCCTGGGCTTGGCAAGGGTGGACACACTCGGATTGCCAAGTTTGACCCCAGAGGGTTGCCAACTGCCGTGCTTTAAATTTAAGCTTATATATAATCCAGCCTCAGGTTGTGAAGATCTCGTTGTTGTTCTTGTTTCAGCAGTGTCTCTCCTCTTCTCTTTCTCATTGTCCTGATTGCTCAATTACCGGACTTTAAACATGGATGACAAGGATATTTCACCCGGCCATGGTGGCTCGTCTTACGATGACAAGACCGTCACGCCTCCGCCTGAGAAGGGCGGTGCTGAGATTCTAGAGCACGCTTCTCAGGGCCGTCGTCAATCCGTAGCTCTCAACATTGTCCAGAACCCTCTGCAGGTACATTCCACTACCTCATCTCAAATCTCTGCCAATTACTCACCCATATCATAGAGCAAAACAAAGGATCAAGTCGTCGCTGACGCTCGCGCCTTTGCCGAGTCCAATGGCATGTCCGAGCACGTCGACCTCTTCGGCCGAGCCGCTCTCATCGCTCGTGACCCCGATAACTTCGAATCGGTGGACCTTCTCGACGACGAACGCGCTGCTCTCATCTATGAGAGAGACCACAAGTGGCATGGATCCAAGATGCTGTGGTACTCCATTGGTCTTTGCGCTGTTGGTGCTGCTACGCAGGGATGGGATCAGACAGGTGCCAATGGCGCTAATCTCTCATTCCCCAAAGAGTTTGGTATCGATGGTGAGGGACGCGATGAGTGGATTGTTGGTATTATCAACTCCATCATCTTCCTTACTGCTGGTCTGATGTAAGATTCACCTCTCATGCACTATATCGTGACCTCATCTGACATTTTATCTTCAGTGGTGCCTTTATCGTTGACCCTCTTAACCACTACTTCGGCCGACGTGGAGAGATCTTCATCACAGCCTGTTGCTTAGTAGCTACCCCTATCGCCTCAGGTTTCGCCAAGAACTGGCAAGAGCTTTTTGCCATCCGTTTCATCATGGGAATCGGTATCGGTGCAAAGAATGCTACCGTGCCTATATATTCAGCTGAGATGGCTCCTGCTCGAATTCGAGGTGCCCTCGTCATGTTCTGGCAACTTTGGGTCGTCATTGGTGAGACGCCTCTCATTTTCTCTCAATCAGATTAGAGTACTAATAACAACAGGTATCTTCCTCGGTTTCTGCGCCAATGTCATCGTCAAAGATATCGGCGACATCGCCTGGCGTCTCGAACTCGGCTCTGCCTTCATCCCTGCCTTCCTCCTCGCCATCGGCATCTACTTCTGCCCCGAATCTCCCCGTTGGCTGATGAAGCACGGTCGCATCGCCGATGGCTTCGTCTCCATGTCCAAGCTTCGAGCTCACCCCATCATCGGTGCTCGTGATTACTACTACTCTTACATCATCTACCACGAGGAGCTTCGCGAGAATGCTGGCGCTGGTTACTTTGCTCGTCTTTGGGACTGCTTCGCTGTTCCCAGAATTCGACGTGCTAACTACGGTGCTAGCACTGTCATGTTGGCCCAGCAGATGTGCGGTATCAATATCATCTCTTTCTACAGCTCTAGTATCTTCCGAGAGGCTGGTTATAGCCACGACGAGGCTCTGTATGCTTCCTTGGGATACGGTGCTATCCAGGTTGTCTTCACCATTCCTACTCTTTTCTTGATCGATACCAAGGGCCGACGATTCTTAACCCTGGCTACTTTCCCCTTCATGTGCATCTTCTTGCTTGCCGGCGGTCTCTCCCTTCTCAACAACAGCGACAACCGAGCTGCCAACATCGGTCCCGTCGTCCTATTCGTCTACCTTTTCACTATCGCCTACTGTCTCGGTGAGGGACCTGTCGCGTTCCAGTATTCGGCTGAGGTCTTCCCCACCATCCAGCGAGAGCAGGGTATGGCTTGGGCTGTCTGCATCAACAACACCTTTGCTGGTGTTCTTGGCTTAACCTTCCCTCGTATGAAGACTGTCATGACACCCACTGGAGCTTTCGGCTTCTATGCCGGGCTCAACCTCATCGCTTGGGGTATGATCTTCTGCTTCGTTCGTGAAACTAAGCAGATGACCCTTGAGGAATTGGATCGTAAGTCTTCCGCACTATAACATCACTGAGGTGCATTTACTAACACGCAGAACAGAGGTCTTTTCCGTCCCTACAAAGAGCTTCTTGTCTCATGAGACAAAGGTCTGGCTGCCTTATATCTTCAAGCGTTACGTCCTTCGCAAGGACATTCAGCGCCCTCCTCCCATTATTGAGAAGGGCGAGAAGACACTCGCGTAATTGGTGGAATAATATGGGTCGCTGTCACGTATATACGGAGAAAGCATCCTGAGTCAG